GCGTGTCTTTTTTGGGTCGTTTTGCTGGTTTTATTTTTTATTAATTAGGTGAAACAAACAACAACACATCAAAGACAAAGAAAAGAGAAAGGGATACATAGAGGTGCCTAAAGTAAACTTTACACTTAGGCTGACCTGTGACCATGACAGAGCAAAGGTTGAAATGAAAAGGATGATAAAAGATGGTTCAAGTTTTTTAAAAACGAACCCCCCAAAAGAAAAAAAAATAACAGGAAAAAGCATTCTAGTAGCCCCTCTCTTTCCCCCACCCCTTTTCCCCCCCAATTGCTACCCCCAATATTTTTATACTATGCTTTGGACATCTGTGATTCTCTCTCGTTTCTACTCAAATTATTTTTTTCTTATTTTTTCACCTGTTTGCCTTTCTCTCCAAAAACGGCGTTCTGAGTCTCTTTGCTATCTGCTCTGCTGTATATAAGGCAGAATATTCCTGCCTGAATTTGGTTTGACTTCTGCTGTGCATATATACAATAGATTTTTCTCCAATTTTGGCCTCCTTGTATCGTCTGCAAGAAACTAACGCTAGACAGGAAGCTCTCTCTTTTCCGGCGTGGTGCCCATGGCACGCCTGCTGAGGGCTGCATTAACGGGGACGCCCCAAAATTTGGACCCGTTCCCATCCGGAGCCGAGCGATACTGTTTGCTGAGCGAGTGACTTTTCCCTAAGAGGTCTTGTGCGTGCAATCTGACCCCAACGTCCGTGTCAACAGACGCCCACGTGCACAATGGAGGGAATGCGAAGAATGTCAGAATTCTGGTTCCTCCCAACGGTCGATGCCAATCCAGGTCTAGAATCGGGCAAGGCTGGGCATCTGTTGAGTGCCCAATTCAGCAGCGGGGCTCCCCGTGCCACCGCAGTGCTCTCTTGACTTTGCTCCCCAAAAGGTTGGGATGGAGGCAAGATCAAGAGGGTCTTCTCTTGTCCCCTCCGTGGAGAAAACCTAGCAGTTCAATCTGGGTCCACCGTTGACCCCTTCCTGTCTCTGCCACCCAACAGTAGAGCCGGCCCGAAGACAACCCTCTCGTGGAGCTTCACCAGTTCCGGGTTTAAGGTAGACCCTGCCGATCTCCACATCTCGCCCTGAATTCCCAACCCCCCCCCCCCCTTTGGCTCAAAATGGGGGGGCGCACGGTCTCCTTACCTGCCCGATGCTAGACACAGGCTTAATTTTATCATGGGCGTTTTCTCGAACGTGCTCCAGGGCAGCAATGAAGGTGAACTGCTGCTGTTGGAAGATTTTGTATGTCTGTTCGATGTTCCGTAGGCACTCCTTGATTTCGTTCATTTTCCCCCCTCCTAGAAATTTAGAAGAGAGCAAAGCAGCCGGGGGTCAGTTTTAACGCAAGGTTGAAACAGCGACCGACGTCCTTCTGGAAAAAGCCGGTAGGTCAAGCGTTTGACCAGGTCCCGTAAAAGCCCAACCGCCCTACCGACCCGACATGCAAGATCTGATTAGTTTAGGACTTGGTTAGCTTTCTCTGTGGCTCCAACCCAGAAAATGGGTTCATTTGGTTTGTGAACGCCGCCACAGCATTGAATGGTGATCTTCACTTTTAAAGGAAAGAGTGAAATATCTGGAATTAGGTTTTCAGACTTCTGACACGGGATAGACGGGACTGTTAATCGCTGATATTTCTTTTTGATTAATGGGTGTTCCTTTGCTTAATGTCCCATTCGCTCCCCAGAGCCACCATAACGAGATAGGTGACTGTATGAATGGTTTAAAATCAGTGTGTCTTAAACTTTTTGCTCTCAGGACCCCTTCCCCCTTTTAAAAATTATGGAGGACCCCAAAAGAGCTTTTGCTTGTATGGGTTACATTTACCGATATTTACCGTATTGAAATGAAAACAGATGCCTTCCTAGAATATTTATTTATTGAATCATAACAAATTAAAAAAAAAAAAAACAGAGGAGAGCGACATTGTTTTACATTTCTGCAAATACCTTTAATAACTGACAAATAATTTTGATTTCGCGGACCCCGGAGAGGGTGTTGGGGGACTCCCAAGGGTCCTCGGACCACACTTTAAGAAACGCTGGTTTGAATGAATGAATGAATGAATGAATGAATGAATGAATGAATGAATGAATGGAGAAGGATTTGGCTACCCCATCCCATAACCTCTGTGGGGTTCCCACCTCAATTGTCTGTCCATCTCTGAGCATCAAAACCATCTTGAAGGGCAAACCTTTTCTGAGATTTGACTTCTCCTTCCTCCCAAGCTCCTGTTCCCCCTCCTGGTGCCCTTCCCATACATTGGATGACAACTCCCGCCATCCCCAGGACCTGCAAAGATGGGAGTTGTAGTCCAACATATCCAGAAGGCCGTTATAGACACTGGTGGAATGCTAAAAGGAGGAAAAAGTTGGGTTTTATTCTTCATGGCTAGATCCTGCTCCTTCCTGCCTCTTCTTCTCTCAAGAAAAGGAAGGTAGTAAGTCCCATTTTCCTCCCCCAAAACACATTATCTCCCCCCTTCCCCTGTCCCCCTCCCCGGTCTATGTTGCATTCCCGTCTTCCGCAAAACCCCGCTTTAATATTGCATCCGCCCTGGCGATCCAGCCGTTCGGTTGAATGATTTGTGCTTTAGGTTTTGCGCGGGTGAGCGAGGACCGTAGGAGAACCCCAATGAAGAGGGGGGCTCTTTCCCCCAAATGGGGGGTGGGAAAGAGCGAGAAGATACACGATGGCTGGCTTGGTTGCTCCCAACGCTCCAGGCAGCGAGTCAATCCACGGGTGATAAGAAAAAGGGGGACCGGGAACGTGGTCAACCAGTTGCTCTAAACCCTGGCAAGGGGTCGATTGTGAACATGACGCAGCCGTGTCACTGGTTGACGCTGGGAAAAGACCGAGGGGCATAAAGCAGCGGCTTGAACCCCTTCGGGTGTCCTGCCCACTGTTAAACCGGAGGCCCCCTTGATAGAGGGTCGAATGGGGTGGAAACGACGCATCTGTGGGGCAGTCCCCAGAAATGGGATGGCGGCTTGTAGCTCGAGTCCTCGCTGGGTCTGAATTCAATGCAGTGGGTGCAAAATCAGAGTTTCTTCGGGTTAGTAAAGGGACCGGCCGATCAAGCTTCGATCGGATCGTGCCGGCTTTCACTTAACTGGGAAACCGCTTACGGGCTCCGGTTCCCCACGTGGGCTTTTGCTCCCTCTGATGTTGGGGTTTCTTTCGTGGCCGTAAGTTCCCTGGCGGGGGCAAAAGATCAGGTGCAAAATTCAGCCGGAGGAGAATGGAGATTCGTACCCCGTAGGACGAAAGCGTGGGAAGGGACTTTGGAGAATATCTAGTCCGGCCCTTTGTCTTAAGTCGCGGGGGGCCTGGTTTCGGTTTTGCGGGGCTTATTCCAGCAAGCCACGGCTAAGTCAGTCAGTGAGGGGCAAACCCAGCTGCAAACCTATACTAAGGGTAGGTAAATCAAAGCACGTGTTGTGTAGATACAGGCACATTTTGCTTGACGTCTGGAAATCTCCTGGTGGTCTCCCATCCATCCAACAATTAATTAAAGCTTAGCTTTTAGAATCCACCCAGTGCTATTCCCTTTGGGGGCAAACACACCCTTCCTTTAACCACTTTCCTCCTAGTTTTCTTTGTTTCAATAATTTTTTCCCCTAGGCGGAGATCTTGGTCTGGTTTACGTGGGGAGAAGTAGCTGAACAGGGTTTGTTCTGTGGCATTGGTACATGGAATGTATTCAGTCCTGACGGGTTGTGCATCACGGTTTATGGTTTTGCCGGCGACACCAAGCCAACTTTGGCGCTGCTTCGGGCAATACATAACCAGGTCAGTTTCAGGTCTAACGATGCTGGTTCTTAGGGAAACATCTTCTCCCGAAGGGGAGTCAACTCCTAGGGTTTTCACACAACCCGCAGAGCCAGGTTTGCTGGACCGGGGTTAACCACATGAACAGAATGAGCCGGGCTGAGCGAGCCCGGCCGCAGAGCCGTTGAAGCCGGTCAGGCGAGAAGACAGCATTTGCACGCCAGGTTGAACTGGGCTGGGTCCCCCTCCCCGTGTCCTTCCTTTCGTGCACGTGTGGACCCGCCCCGCCTGCTGAGTCCGGGGTTGGGAAAGAGGGGACTCCGGGCGCCCCCGCGACCCTCCGGCATCCCCGGGACCCTCCCCAGGTGGGCTCGGCCGCCGGGCCGCTCCCCGCGGCGCCCGCTCACCTTTATTCTTCCCCCCGATTCTTCCGCATGTCCCGGAGTCGCTGCTGCT